TAATACAGGTACCATGAATAGTGTGTTGGTATTAATACAGGTACCATGAATAGTATGTTAGTATTAATACAGGTACCATGAATAGTATGTTAGTATTAATACAGGTACCATGAATAGTGTGTTAGTATTAATACAGGTACCATGAATAGTGTGTTAGTATTAATACAGGTACCATGAATAGTGTGTTAGTATTAATACAGGTACCATGAATAGTGTGTTAGTATTAATCAGGTACCATGAATAGTATGTTAGTATTAATACAGGTACCATGAATAGTATGTTAGTATTAATTCAGGTACCATGAATAGTATGTTAGTATTAATACAGGTACCATGAATAGTGTGTTGGTATTAATACAGGTACCATGAATAGTGTGTTAGTATTAATACAGGTACCATGAATAGTGTGTTAGTATTAATACAGGTACCATGAATAGTGTGTTAGTATTAATACAGGTACCATGAATAGTGTGTTAGTATTAATACAGGTACCATGAATAGTATGTTAGTATTAATTCAGGTACCATGAATAGTATGTTAGTATTAATACAGGTACCATGAATAGTATGTTAGTATTAATACAGGTACCATGAATAGTGTGTTAGTATTAATACAGGTACCATGAATAGTGTGTTAGTATTAATACAGGTACCATGAATAGTGTGTTAGTATTAATGTGAATAGTATGTTAGTATTAATACAGGTACCATGAATAGTGTGTTAGTATTAATACAGGTACCATGAATAGTATGTTAGTATTAATACAGGTACCATGAATAGTGTGTTAGTATTAATACAGGTACCATGAATAGTATGTTAGTATTAATTCAGGTACCATGAATAGTATGTTAGTATTAATACAGGTACCATGAATAGTGTGCTAGTATTAATAAAGGTACCATGAATAGTATGTTAGTATTAATACAGGTACCATGAATAGTGTGTTAGTATTAATACAGGTACCATGAATAGTGTGTTAGTATTAATACAGGTACCATGAATAGTGTGTTAGTATTAATAAAGGTACCATGAATAGTATGTTAGTATTAATAAAGGTACCATGAATAGTGTGTTAGTATTAAATCAGGTACCATGAATAGTGTGTTAGTATTAATACAGGTACCATGAATAGTGTGTTAGTATTAATAAAGGTACCATGAATAGTATGTTAGTATTAATACAGGTACCATGAATAGTGTGTTAGTATTAAATCAGGTACTCATGAATATGCGTTAGTATTAATACAGGTACCATGGAATAGTGTGTTAGTATTAATAAAGGTACCATGAATAGTATGTTAGTATTAATACAGAAAATTGGCGAATAAGTGTGTTAGCACATTAGGGAGATTTTGTGTCTGTCCCTTTAAGACACACAGTGTAAGGTGTTAGTGATACAAGATAACAAGCTGCAGTCACGTGACGGCAGCCGCCAATCAGCAGTTTCAGAAGGATGACGTCACATCTAGTTTCACTCCATTCTGCTCGAGTCTCGCTGGCCGGAACGGGGCAGGTTGGTTTATCACTAACACCCGGGTAATAATGGGAGCAGGTACTGGGGGAGGGGGGTACCAGGGCTGTACCCCCTCAGCCAGGTATTAGAGTGACTCACACCCCAGAGTACTAGGGGAGGGAGGGAGGAGCACACATCATCATTTCATATATGGGCTCAGAGACACGGAGTAATAATACTGGGATTACTATATAGGAAGTAATAATACTGGGAATACTATATAGGAAGTAATAATACTCAGAGACACAGGGAGTAATAATACTGGGAATACTATATAGGAAGTAATAATACTCAGAGACACGGAGTAATAATACTGGGATTACTATATAGGAAGTAATAATACTGGGAATACTATATAGGAAGTAATAATACTCAGAGACACAGGGAGTAATAATACTGGGAATACTATATAGGAAGTAATAATACTCAGAGACACGGAGTAATAATACTGGGATTACTATATAGGAAGTAATAATACTGGGAATACTATATAGGAAGTAATAATACTCAGAGACACAGGGAGTAATAATACTGGGAATACTATATAGGAAGTAATAATACTCAGAGACACGGAGTAATAATACTGGGATTACTATATAGGAAGTAATAATACTGGGAATACTATATAGGAAGTAATAATACTCAGAGACACAGGGAGTAATAATACTGGGAATACTATATAGGAAGTAATAATACTCAGAGACACAGGGAGTAATAATACTGGGATTACTATATAGGAAGTAATAATACTGGGAATACTATATAGGGAGTAATAATACTCAGAGACACGGGGAGTAAAAATACTGGGATTACTATATAGGAAGTAATAATACTGGGATTACTATATAGGAAGTAATAATACTGGGATTACTATATAGGAAGTAATAATACTGGGAATACTATATAGGGAGTAATAATACTCAGAGACACAGGGAGTGAAAATACTTAGAGACACAGGGAGTGATAATACTCAGACACAGGGAGTGATAATACTCAGACACAGGGAGGGATAATACTCAGACAGGGAGTAATAATACTCAGACACAGGGAGTGATAATACTCAGACACAGGGAGTAATAATACTCAGACACAGGGAGTGATAATACTCAGAGACACAGGTAGTGATGATACTCAGACACAGGAAGTAATAATACTCAGACACTGGGAGTAATACTACTCAGATACAGGAAGTAATAATACTCAGCGACAGGGAGAAATAATACTCAGAGACAGGGAGTAATAATACTCAGACACAGGAAGTAGTAATACTCAGCGACAGGGAGTAATAATACTCAGCGACAGGGAGTAATAATACTACTGGGAATACTATATAGGAAGTAATAATACTCAGCGACAGGGAGAAATAATACTCAGAGACAGGGAGTGATAATACTCAGACACAGGGGGTAATACTACTCAGAGACAGGAAGTAATAATACTCAGACAGGAAGTAATAACACTCAGACAGGGAGTAATAATACTGGGCAGGAGAGTAACACTCAGACAGGGAGTAATACTGGGCAGGAGAGTAATACTCAGACACAGGGAGTAATAATACTGGGCAGTAGAGTAATACTCAGACACAGGGAGTAATAATACTGGGCAGGAGAGTAATACTCAGACACAGGGAGTAATAATACTGGGCAGGAGAGTAATACTCAGACACAGGGAGTAATGCTGGGCTTGAGAGTAATACTCAGACACATGGAATAATAGTGCTGGGCTGGAGAGTAATACTCAGAGACACAGGCAATGATAGTGAGTATTATGCTCAGAAATGCAGGGAGTAATAATGATATAAGTATAATACTCAGGAATTCAGGGAGTAAAAATAGTATAATGCAAAGAAATGTAAGGAGTAATAATGATATACAGGAGTATAATACTCGAGAATTGAGGGAGTAATAATGGTAAGTGTATAATATTAAGAAATGCAGGGAGTAATGATGTACAGGATTAGAATACTCAGGAATTTAGGGAGTAATAATGATAAAGGTATAATATTAAGAAATGCAGGGAGTAATGATGTACAGGAGTAGAATACCCAGACACAGGAGAGTGATTGTAAGGTCAGCTTTGCAGTACTTGGAGAAACGTAATGCTGCACAGGTGTGTAGTACTCAGAGGTACATGGGGTAATAATTAATATTATGGGTTTTTGTAACAATTTTAGAGTAATAATCAGAGGTGTAATAATGGTAATCAGGAAAGCAATACTCTGGGAATGAGGGAGTAATAATGATCATCAGCAGAGCTCGGAGAATAAAGGTCTAATAATTTATCACCAAGAAACTGATACTGAAGGATACTGGAAAATGATGATTGCAAGGGGAATAATATTCTTAATAAAGGGAATTATAAAAAATACCAGAAGAATACTTTAGGATATTAGGAGTAATCGCAATGTAGAGGTATATAATATTATGGGATGCATGGAGTATTAAAGATAAATTGGAGAGTAGTACTTGGAGAAGAAGGGGATATTGGGGTTTATTCACTAAACACTGAATTTTAGTGATTGTAAGATTCTCAATCTCAGCTACATAATACATTACTATTCTGTATTTAGGGAATACACCCCATTATAGTAGACACAGCAGTAACCTGTGCAAACAGGGAGTAATTACTGGGATGTAGAAACTAATGGAGTATTTTCTTCCCCTTCTAGAAAGCTTCCCCATATAGTATATTTAAAAATAAAGCCTATTTTAAGTAAATATAAAAAATTCTTGACAGTGACAGTTTCCCTTTAAAAGACAATGAAGCATCACGATAGTACACGTTATAGATGATTTAAAGTCCTGGAGAAGTGACAGTTACTCTTTGAAGCAGAGATAAGTTGGCCCAGGTTTTCTCCCCCCCATCCTGTTGGAGTTTTAAAAAAAAACATTATCCCACCCATTGCGACTGAGTGGGCTTTATTATGAAATGTAAAGGTGAAAGGATTCCCACCCTTAAACCCTCAGCCACTAATAGATTAAATAAAATGATGGGAACCTCCAGCTATCACTCAGATTGAAGGGTATTAGGATGTACCCAAGGAGGAATTATTCATTATTTTACTTTTATGAAATAAAAAGAACATGTTACTGAAGTCGAACTTCTTGGTAGACTCCTAAACTCTCAGCCATGGCCTAAATTACAAACATTGTAAGGATGCACACTCCTGAACCCTCAGCCATCACCCTGATGTGAGGATGTCCGTTCATGGGTTAATATTTAGTGCTGTGGCCATTCACCCTCTCGATAAAATAATAAATGTGTCTTTCCATAAAATATGTTTAAGTGAATTTGCCAATTTTGGGGCAGTTAAAGGTTAAAAGAGACATTGTATCTCTGTCTGAGATTTATTTTAATTAGCTGTGAAACAGGGACAGCTTCATGTTGACCTCTTCTGTGCCAGAAGCCCTGCTCCCCTTAGACGTGAGACCTGTTAGATTCCTGGCACGGCAATCATCCTTCTCGTGCTCCATAGTAGTGGCAGAGGGGAGAACAATTAGTTAATCCTGTATCGTCTAATCTGTGTCTCCACTTCCTCTGTCTGTGCTTATCTGTGGGTGAGTTACAATTCTGTTTACAGAAGTGCCTGTCGCCCCTGTCCTCTCTTTGCTCGGTTCTCGGTCTCTTCCTGGTGCACACTGATACTGCACTCGTTTAATCGTTACATTGATTAACATTAGTTACACCTGCAGGTACAAGTCATTGACCAGCCTTCCCGAACTCTCTACATGGGGAACACCAATAAAAAACAGTGAGTTTTCCAAATGGTCTTAAAACACAGTGAAAACAGTAAAACCAATTTAATGAGAATTCATAGAAGCTGTCGGCAGGATACTCCCCAAATAATCCATGCAGATAATCTCCCTCCGCCAGTGAAAGTGCAACGATGGAGGTTTTTTGTCGCTCTGTCTTTGTTTTATATCGAGGACTGTGTGATGTCTCGAAGCCAGTCTTACTCTATCCACACACACCACAAACAGATCCCATCCACACACATACCACAAACAGATCCCATCCACACACATACCACAAACAGATCCCATCCACACACACACCACAAACAGATCCCATCCACACACATACCATAAACAGATCCCATCCGCACACATACCACAAACAGATCCCATCCGCACACATACCATAAACAGATCCCATCCGCACACATACCACAAACAGATCCTATCCGCACACATACCACAAACAGATCTTATCCGCACACATACCACAAACAGATCTTATCCGCACACATACCACAAACAGATCCCATCCGCACACATACCACAAACAGATCCCATCCGCACACATACCACAAACAGATCCTATCTGCACACATACCACAAACAGATCCTATCCGCACACATACCACAAACAGATCTTATCCGCACACATACCACAAACAGATCTTATCCGGACACATACCACAAACAGATCCTATCCGCACACATACCACAATCAGATCCCATCCGCACACACCACCACAAACAGATCCCATCCGCACACACCACCACAAACAGATCCCATCCGCACACACACCACAAACAGATCCCATCCGCACACACACCACAAACAGATCCCATCCACACACACACCACAAACAGATCTTATCCGCACACATACCACAAACAGATCCTATCCACACACACCACAAACAGATCTTATCCGAACACATACCACAAACAGATCCTATCCACACACACACCACAAACAGATCCTATCCACACACACTACCACAAACAGATCCTATCCCCACACACTACCACAAACAGCCGCTGTTTAAAAGTGCTAAACTTTGCGTGGGCTTTCCTGGAGAGACACTAAACTGACATGTCTACTTTATGGGGCGTGCTTGTCATGGGTGATGGCATAACATGCCTCTCCCTTGCTCAGCCTCCTACTTTAGGACGACTCTGCCTTTAAATGTCAGAGCAGAATTTCTAGCCCTGCCTGTATATGTGGAGTGTTGTGCAGATAATTAATATAAGTAATATGTACATATTAATATAAATTATAGCGCTGTCTCGATTTTCCCTGTAATATATTCATTAATGTCATTTATGGGACTGCTATGGCTTTAACTTACAGGGCCGCCATGCCTCACGATGTCTCTACCCATTTTCACAAGTTAGAAGAGGACATCACGTGCTCCATCTGTCTCTTTGAGCTGGACCAGCCGGTATCTATCACTTGCGGACACACGTTCTGCGAGAAGTGTATCTCCTCTTACTGGGACAATACCCAACTGCTGGGCTCCCGCTGCCCGGAGTGCAGGATGATCTGCCCCAGAGACCAGCTCATACCGGTGCACAGACTCCGAAATCTCATCACAAACGTGCAGTTGGTGGTGAAGGAAGAGCAAGCCAGAAAGGTGAGCCGTGTCTGGGGGTGAATATTAGCAGGTCACGTTTAACATGAAATAAGAGTTTAAAAGGTTAAGTATGAGACTTAAAATCACTAGCCGGGGATTGAGAAATATCAGATTGTAACGTCATAATACAACAAAAAGGGTGTAGCGGAATGCTGGTCTCTCAGAGACTATTTCCGCTGGTAGTCCAGGTGTGGCTCAGGAACAAGTAGTAACCCCAGGAATAACATCCACAGTAATAAAATAATCCAACAGCGTAGCCAGCACAATCAGCAATACAATCCAATAATATCCCATCACCTTTCCCAATAACTGGACGACACACAGTATCAGGAGCAGAACTAAACTTTTATTCCACAACCCCTGCTTTTATGCCTCTCTCCCACTGCAAGAGAGACACCCACAATACTTAGTACAGTCACCAATCAGATACATGTTACCTCCAACACATCTCCTCCCCTCTGCCTGTGATACAATTATCTTAACACAATAGACTAACTTAATTATCACAGGCAGAAAAATATACAGTTTTTACACACATGCTGTAACTTTAAAAATATACATCCAATCATACATTTTCAGAATCAGCATACTTGAAATGTAAACATACTCAAAAATTAGGTCAATCGGTTCAGGGGTTAAAAGGTTAGGTGGAGGTCCCTTTAGGTCCACTGAAGCATGGCTTTCCAGCCCAAACCAGTTCCAACTAGTCTGGCAGTGTGCCGGGGGCAACACCCTGCTGAAGAAAAATGGAACAGTAAACAGGGGAGGGGTACACCTTCCTATACACAATCTAATAGAAGTCCATACACTGTGCTTAAAGGGCCAGTAGCCGCATAATAAAAATCCATTATGCCCAAATATGTTCTTAAAAGGCAATACATCCCAGGGGCCATAGTCACAGGACAGGAGGCGGGCAAGAAGCCCCCTCCAAAAACTCATGGCAAACTCCTTTAAAGGGGCGAGTTTGCTACAAAGGGTATTATCCATGAAATGGTGAACTGAAAACTTAATCTGAAAATGCAGGCCATGCATGGACAGCAACAATCATGAGAGAGACGGACAGTGTCCAGACTGCCAATCATGAGAGAGACGGACAGTGTCCAGACTGCCAATCGGTAGAGAGACGGGCAGTGTCCAGACTGCCAATCGTCAGAGATATGCACAGTGTCCAGACTGCCAATCGGTAGAGAGACGGGCAGTGTCCAGACTGCCAATCATCAGAGAGACGGACAGTGTCCAGACTGCCAATCGGTAGAGAGACGGCAGTGTCCAGACTGCCAATCGTTAGCGAGACGGGCAGTGTCCAGACTGCCAATCGTTAGCGAGACGGGCAGTGTCCAGACTGCCAATCGTTAGCGAGACGGGCAGTGTCCAGACTGCCAATCGTTAGAGAGACGGGCAGTGTCCAGACAGTTAATCGTTAGAGAGACGGGCAGTGTCCAGACAATGTATATTGAATTTTTATAATTTTAAGAAATCACTTGCCTGCCCTCCCCACTCCCCCTTCTGACAGCCATCTTTATGCACCTTCAGCCAGATTCTGC